GGTCACCCATAAAGGGTGGGGGTCACCCGTAGGGTTGGTTCAAGACCCCACTGCTCACATTGGGGTGAGCGTGGAATTCCAGGGGAGTCTTTTAAAGACCCCTCCCCAATTTTTTGTGTCCCCCCTTCCTCCCTCCCTCCAGGTCTGGCCCCCTCGAGCGCCTTCGTGGCCCCCCCAGGCCCCACGGTTGCCCCCAGCCCTGCCAAGCTGCAGGCGGCCGCTGCCTTGGCCGAGGTGGCCAACGGCATCGAGAGCACCCCCGTGGTGAGTGTGGGCACTGAAATTCACCTGGAAATCAACCCCCAAATCCACCCAAAAAACACTAGAAATTCCTCCCAAAAATTTTCCCCTGAATAACCCAGAAGTCCTCACAAATCCACCCGAAATCTCCCCCAAAATTCTCCAAAAATTCCCTGAAATTCACCCAATTTCCCCCAAATTTTCCCTGATTTTCTGCCAATTTCCCCTCTAAAAATTCCCCAATTTCCTGCCGTATCCCCCTAAAAAATCCCCTTATTTGTCCCAGTATTTTCACGAAATCCTCCCATTTCCCCCAAAATCCCCCGAATTTCCCCCCAAATCCGTTTTTCTGTGCAGAAGCCGGAGCCGGGGGCGCCGCCCAAGGCGCTGCCCAAGAAGGAGAACCAATGGTTCGACGTGGGGGTCATCAAGGGCACCACCATGATGGTCACTCACTACTTCCTGCCGGCCGAGGACGCGCCCGCCCAGGACGTGAGTGACACTGGGGACACTGGGACACACTGGGGACAGAGTGGGGACACAAGGGCCACCCAGGGACAGGCTCATGGCACTGGGGACAGCCCTGGGATGGGTTTGTGGCACTGGGGACACCAGGGACAGCTCTGGGACAGCGGCATGGCGTTGGTGGGGGACACCCCCGTGTCCAGGGGGTTTCTCTGGCCACGTCCCCAGTGTCCCCACGCTGTCCCCGCAGGACGAGGGCTCGGGGGTCCCGGACCACTCTCAGCTGCGGCGCCAGGAGCTGCAGCCGGGCACCGCCTACAAATTCCGCGTGGCCGGGCTCAACGCCTGCGGCCGCGGGCCCTTCTCGGAGCTGTCGGCCTTCAAAACCTGCCTGCCCGGCTTCCCCGGGGCCCCGTGCGCCATCAAGATCAGCAAGGTGACCCCAGACCCACGGCAGGGACCCCCGTGTCCGCTTTGTCCCCGTCACCGCCATCCCCCCAACTCCTGTGTCCCCTCTGTCCCCATGTCACCCCATGTCCCTCTTGACCCCTTTGTCCCCTCTGTCCCCCCATGTCTGCCCTGACCCCCGTGTCCTCTTTGTCCCCTGTCCCCCCCTGTCCCCTGACCGTGTCCCCCTGTCCCCAGAGCCCGGACGGAGCTCACCTGACGTGGGAGCCGCCCTCGGTGACGTCGGGCCGCATCGCCGAGTACTCGGTGTACTTGGCCATCCAGGGGGGCCCCGGCGGTGGCCCCGAGGCTCGCGGGGGGGGGGCCCAGCTGGCCTTCATGAGGGTCTATTGTGGGCCCAGCCCCTCGTGCCTCGTGCCGGCCTCCAGCCTGGCCAGCGCCCACATCGACCACACCACCAAGCCGGCCATCATCTTCCGCATCGCCGCCCGCAACGACAAGGGCTACGGCCCGGCCACCCAGGTGCGGTGGCTGCAAGGTGGGTCTGGGGGCTCTGGAATGAGTCTGGGGGCTACAGACCCCTGTGGGACTGTCCCCCACCCTGCCAGGGACAAAGGGCTGTGGCCCGGCCACCCGGGGGTGGTGGCTGCCAGGTGGGTCTGGGGGCTCTGGAATGAGTCTGGGGGCTGCACACACCTGGGGGTCCCCCCCCCTCACCCCCTGATGTCCCCCCCAGAGTCGAGCAAGGACGGAGCCGCTGGGAAACCGGGCAGCAAACGGCCCCTGGCGTCCCCCGACCTGTGAGTGGGGGGCTTGGGGGGCTTTTGGGGGGTCCTGGAGGGGTCTGGGAGCCTCTTTTGGGGGGCTGGGGGTTGTTTTGGGGGGTACGGGGGTGTCCTGGAGGGATCTGGGGGTTGTTTGGGGTTGTTTCAAGGGGTCTGGGGGCTTTTTTAGGGGTCCTCGAGGGTTCTGTGGGGGTGTTTGGGGGTCTTGGGGGGGGTCTGCGGGTCTGGGTGAGTATAGAGCGCTTTTGGGGGTTATTCTTGGAGGTTTTTTGGTTATTTTGAGGAAGGGTCTCCATCAGAACCCCCCTCCCCAAATTCCCCCCACAGGAAATCCGCTCCAAAGAAGCCCAAGGCCGAAGGGCAGTGAAGGACCCCCGGGACCCCCCCCCAATAAAACCCATCCCGGGACACCTCCCCTCCCCCAACACCCCCAACATCCC